CCCCTGATCTTAAAACACAAAATCATAAAATCTGATATTTTTTTTTATTTTCTGACTGGTTTACTTTGAGTTACTAAAGTTTTGACAAATTTAAGAGTCAGTGTTGTGAGCGGCCTATAATCCAACAAAAAGGATGTCAGTAAAAATAATCAACAGTAGAAGAAATCAACTTATTTAAAAAATACATGCCTTTTGAATAATACAGTAAAAACGGCCTTGACTGAGTTTTAGAAAATCTTAGATGTAATGCGAGTTTCTGACCCCGGGCGGCGCTTTTACTCTAACAAGTCCAGCATGTAGAATGAATCTGTCCTCTGTTTTATTTAATGTGGAGGAAAAAACTCTGACTTTTCCTGACGAGGCAGAGCAGAAAACCCACATAAATCAATTAATTTGTCTGGCTTACAATCAAATACTAAAAATCTATCATGACAGAAGGAGACCATTTCTTATTTATTAGAGATGTATTGGATTATATAGATCAGGGGTGCAAGGGGTGTAATCTTCAGAGGACAGGTATAGGACTGGTTGTGGTAGCTCAGTCGTGTTCTGTAGTTTTGGCTGCAGGTTTGAGCCCAGGTTACATCAGAAAGGTCATTTGGTTTAAGATAGTTTTCAAATATTTTATGCACGTTCTGAATGGGGTGACGCCTGCGGTGAGCATACATAAAACAAACGAACACAATAAATGAATTTAAAACATAACTTTTGAAGGCAGAACAACTTGCTTTAAATAAAATTTATCATACAGCTGAGTTCTGTTTTATTGAGCCCCTGTAGTTTTTTTATTAGTGTTCATTTGTTTGATAATTTTAGTTATGTAAATGTATTAGTTTAAATGGAAAAACAAAACAAACAAAACACTTTCAGAAGGGCAACTGATCAAAATCTATTTCACTTGAGTGCAACTATGGTTTTCAAAGAAGTTTTATGCTAACTTGCATAAAATACTAGTTAACCGTATATAATTCTTTTCCATCAAATGCATTTAGTATAAAAAATTGTGCAAAATAGTTTTTGGAAAATACAAGTTATGTGGTGTTATTGGTGTGAATCTATTGTTGAATGATGGATTTTGTTGTCAAAACAAAATTTAGATGTTAAGAAATTTAGTTCTATTTAGCAATTTTGATTCACTGTTTTTGAATATATGGATTTATTTTAAATGCATTTTTAAAAACTATTACAAAATAGTACAAATTTAGTACAAATATATACAATTCA